AAACAGCATTCTGTGTTTTTGCATTTGGAATATCACAGGCATTTGAAATGCCTGCTGGAGAGGCCAGTGTCAAGCCTCATGGTATAGCAAAATGTGAAGACAGCTCTCGTTTGTAGCTCTTAAATGCTCATATCTGGCATCCAGTTATTGCCCCTGAGAGAGGCAAAGAGGTAAATGAATGCAGTCTATAGCCATAGCTGTCACCTTTAGAGATGAGTGTGAACAGGTGTGGTTACAGCATACTTGGGAGAATTGTTAGTAGAACAAAAATTTATTTAGCTTTCTTCCTCAGGATCCTCTTCCACAGTGTTCACTTACCCAAGGTATTTTGAAATGTCTGTTACTAGACTTGTATTGTGACATAAGATTGTTTAAACTCAGCGAGTCAAAACATAATCCTGCACTTGTGTTGACTGTAGTTAAACAGAATTTGTTCTTAATACATGTCCTTTGTAATTAGGTTGATAGAGGCTCTGCATGGGGGAGGGGAGAGAGAACAGCAGCTTAATCCTTTGAGCTGACAAATGATGGTCTGTAGTAGAATAAAGGTGACTTTCAAGCTGTTCACTTACACTGCTGACTGGAGATTTCTTTTGCAGGGTAATGGCTGATGAGCTAACCAATACCAGAGCAATTCTTCAGCGTCAAACCAGGGACGCGCAAAGTGCAATCCAGGACTTGCTGAATGAACGTGATCAGTTTCGTCAAGAGATGATTGATACACAGAAGTATAATTTTTCTAATCCAGACTACCTCTTTGCCAACTTCATTTCTGTCAGTTTATTCTAGGACAGAGAAAAATCAAGTAACTTCTCCCTGTTCCAGTGACATTCAACAAAAATCAATTATGCTGATGTATAGCACAGTCAGTTTTCAGTTTTAGAGGTAAAAGAGTGAAAGTAATGTAATTCTTCATTCCCTGGAGGTGTGAGGTCTTAGGGGTAATAAACTGTAAAACTGACATCCCTTACATCCTCAGGTTTTCTCTATTGAATCACTTACTGCCTTGACGTCAAGTCTCCCCCATCTCCTTCCAAAACATAGAGGTTCTTCTACCTACATCGACTTTTTAGTGCTTATCCTGCCAGATGTCAAGTAAGCTTTACCAGTATTAAAGTACTGTGGTGGTGAGAGCTTGCCTTGGAGAACAGCCCATTTGTCTCCTTGTTTTTAAACACCTTTTTCTGACTGTACAGTAAGTCTTGGGAAGAGATGATTCCTCTGAAGTGTGCTGATTATAGCAGTATAGAGTACAAAACCCACTAACAGTGCTTCTTTCCTTTCTGCACAGGCTGCTGGAGGAGCTCATGGTTTCTCTTCAGTGGGGGAGACAGCAGACATACTATCCTAATGCCCAGCCTTACACTACAACAGAGCTAGCAGCTGTGAATTGTAAGCTAGCTAAAGCTGTAAGCTCACATCTTCTGGGAGATGTTGGCAATAACAGTCCAAAAAAGACTTCAGCAGCTGTGGAGTTTTGCAATACCCCTGCCGAGAAAATGGCTGAAATGGTAAGAACTCTTGATACATGTCTGTCAGCACAGAGGCTTCTTTCCAGAAAGAAACACCTTGCTTCATGTTTAACTACTTAATACTTTGCCTTTTTTTTGAAACTGTATGCAGGGGGAACATGCTGAATACAGCTGTTTCCCTCACTTTTAAAAAAAAAAAAAAAAGACAATCCCTGCCCCAAAAGCCTCACACAAACAAAAAACCCACAAAACCAAACCAACCAACCTAGAAGAATAAGCAGAACAATAATGTGATGGTACATACTGATTCCTTCTTTGTTCCTAGCACCACAAATGACTGGGTCAAATTTTGTCTAAAGTTAGCTTGTCAGGAGGAAGCCAACTGAAAATACTTAGATGAATTTAAAAACTGAGTGGGAGAAGAAATTCAGGTGGGAATAAGTCGGCACTTCAGCAGTTGTTTCTGTTGCTAAAAATCAGCTCTGTTGAAAGTGGGTGGAAACACAGAGGGGAAACTGTATGATTATCTTTCAAGATAAGGTTCTGCTACAAGAAGCTTGGTGTTTAAATAGGAAACTAGACTCAAGTTTGGTCTGGAAGCAGTTCAGTAATAGTTGAGCAGCAGGAGGCTCACAGTGCCTAGCAATCTGTTGTTCTTGCCTGGTTTTGCTTAAGTTTTCTAACATATACATACCTTGTATTTCTGATGAACATTACTAATTTAACAACAGTACTTAGTGACTTTATATTAAGGTTCTGCATAAATGGATATTTAATTTTCAACTTGGAAACAAATGAAAAATTGCTTTTGAGCAGAAATCCTCCCTAGCTGTTAGAGAAGCTGAAAAAAACCTCATTAAACTTAATAGAAGTATTTTCAGTCTCAGTTGTTCCATCCTTAGGTGCTCCGTGTACTGGATCCAGCTGCACATACAGAAACATCAGCAGAAGTTTCTTTTTCTGAGACTTCTCCATCTTCCTTTCTTTCCACAAAGAAGAATATTGGAAGGTTTCACCCATATACACGATATGAAGATGTGACCTTCAATTGCTGCAGTCACTGTCAAGGAGAGCTGATAGCCCTTTAAAAGCTCGGGCAAGGCAACTGCATGTGTCCTCC